CCGGGATCTCTATCTAGCTGGCGATACGTTGTGTCATCCATGCACCTTACGCATCTAGAAAATCCGTGGACTACCTGCCCCGCAAGATATCCGTAACCGAGATAGTCGTGCACCGTCGTGAGTAGTGCGGCTCTCATAGGGAAATATTCTTTCTATGCGGCGTCCCACGTATTGGCTGGCGTTTTCCACAGCGTGTCAAGCTCCTCTTTCAGCAGCCCCAGATACAGATTGATGTCGTTCCCTGGTTGTTTCGGCCCTTCAATTAGCATACTCATGTGAATGTACTTCCTCTTCATGCACAACCAGGGGGGAAGGTTGTACATCCACACAAACACAGGCCAGGTGCTATGTGTGCTTCTCTGGCTGCCAAACGGATTGACTCCATCGGTGCTCGCGCCCAGCACGATGTTCCTTGGATCGTTCCCAAATTCTGGGTATTCGAAGTTCAACGCTTGCCACTGGCTCGATCCTTAGGGTGACTCAGCATCTTGTCTTTTTTATCTATCTCCGGATCATTTGCGTCATCTTCTCGCTTCTTCTCCTCCCTATCCGCGTGCCAACGCAGGAGCTTTGCTACCTTAGGGTCCGCGAAATACCGCTGCAGACGAGGAGTGATCGGAAAGTACCACACCACTTTTCGAGGAGCTTTCTTCCTCTTCTTGTATCGAGTGACGCCGCACACCGGACATATGGTAGACTCCGCGTGCTCGTCCCGATAAATGATGCAATTATTCATGCACACATGGTATTTCACGTGCGGTAAATCCAAAGGACACACGATTTTCTTTGCCTCCTCCAAACTGGTCGGGCACTTGTTCCCCTTGGGAACACGTTCGTGCGAGAATGACATGTTCTCGTCGAAGCATGCGTCGGTCATTTTGTGTTTTACCTTCATCTCCAGAGCCATGAGCGTTACTTTCAGGCGGGTATCCTCGGGCCTGCATCCTTCATACAATGGAGTAACCGCGTCTAACTCAAGTTGATCCATCTTGGCTTTCTCTCGGGCGCCAGCTCTTGCGTTATCCGTCTGCTTGAGAAGCAGTTCTTGAATATGAGGGTCCTGCACCCAGCCCATCGATGGTCCAGCGTCGTCTGCTCCGCCGGCATCATCATCATGCCCTGCATCTTCTACATGTTGACTGTGTACAACATCACCGTCATGATCATCTCCTGGGGATTCTTCGTCTTCTCGCCCCCCCGAGCCGCGGTGGTTGTCTTGCCGCCCTTCCTCATTTCTTGCCCGGCCCCCATGGACGACTTCGTAGTCATCTTCATCACCTTGCCACCGATAGCCATCCATGAAACCACGCAAGAGCAGGTGGTCCCGCACCTGCCCGGAATCCGGGTCCGCAATAAGGCTATTCAGCTTGCATCTTCGACACGGACATCTTATCTCCGTCTCGTTCTTTTGAAGCATCTCGGCCTTCGCGGACCTCAAAAACCTATTCACGATGCCTTCGGTCATCGTGCGGACCATGGTCGCCTGCGGGGTAGAGCAAAATGATATTTTAGAACCAAGAAAAAATTTGGCATGACTTTCCCTAAAAATAGGACCAAAAAGAATGCTTAATGCCAAAATTCTCGCCGAAACGGAAATGAATCAACATTCCGGCAAAATATTGGCAACTATCGCATTTCAAATAAAGGTACACCTCCAAACACAAACACATATGCAACATCACAAACATATGCAACACCGCGAACATACATAGATCTAGCTAGGCCATAAAAAGTGCATGTGCACATTGTTGTAGGGAGAACAACATAAATATAGCTTCCCCCCTTACTTACCTAGCAAAACAAGGTAACTTAACCACTTAATTTGAATGAATCTATGGTGGAAATGAGGTGAAAAAGAGGAGGCACCCGAGACAAGGAGGAGGCGGCGGAGAGAATGAAGTGGGGAGAAAGTGAATGTGGGAGGAGAGGCTGTCCAAAATATCTTGTTGATGCCCACTTACTAAGGGCGCACCAGCAACAAATGCGCCATTAGTAATCCAGGTTACTAATGGCGCACCCCCCGGTGGTGCGCCATTAGTAGTTTTGCAAAAAGAAAACACTAATGGCGCACTCTGCCACGGTGCGCCATTACTAGTTTGAACTAGTAATGGCGCATCGCGTGCGAGTGCGCCATTAGTACTTTTGCAAAAAAGGAATAAAAACAATAATAATAAAATTAACATTAGTGGCGCACCTACTGGCTGGTGCGCCATTACTAGTTACAACTAGTAATGGCGCACCACCAGTGGATGCGCCATTAGTATGTTTGGACAGGCGCACTAGTTTAAAAAAAAAATTTGATACTAATGGCGCACCGTGGGCAGGGTGCGCCATTAGTAGTTTTAACACTAATGGCGCATCAGAAGGTGGTGCGCCATTAGAATATACTAATGGCGCACCGCATGTCTGGTGCGCCATTAGTGTCAATTCCATCTATAGCCCTTTTCCTAGTAGTGCACGGTCAATCATACAATTTGTATGAAAGACCTAAGATATGACAACGTCGACGAAGGCACGCTTGTTGAATATCCAAGCCGAACTGCCACATACTTTGATGCAATCCCCTACGTCCCAAGCTTCGTCTTGATCTAGCTGAAGTTTCAGCTTGGGTAACATTTGGTGCAACAAAGGCTTCATCTCATTGAAGCCTTTTATTCTTTACCTAGATTGGTCAGTATGCATTGCTTATATTCTTATAAGAAAATTACGTATCAATTAAGTTTAGAATGTCACAAGGCATCTATCTGAAACTTTTCATTAGTCAGCCTAATAACCATCTGTTGCTGGACCCATTAAGCAGTGTTGAGATATTGCACACCGAGGTGAAAACCTCTATATAGTCTTTACCGGGTGTGGCTGGATGTGATGAGATTTTTGCATCCTCAGTGAGATGCTTGGTTTTTTACTTTTGAATAAATTTTGGTTGTGTGAGCAGCTAACATTGTTATCGGTCTACAACGAGGATCGCGCTGTCAATGGTTGTCGACCTTAAATACACACTTTGTTTCGTGATAATTAAAAGATCAATAGTTTTTCCTCGTGGCATCTCTTGGTCTTCTTTTTTGGCGGTCGAGATACAAAGCGGCCGTAACATTATAAGGGTCATGCCATGAGTTTTCACGAGCTCATGTGGGCTCTTGAATCTCATGATGGCTAACTCGTTCAGCTTTTAGAAAGTTATATTCATATTTGAAGGAATGCGGAATGGGCGGGAGTTAGAGATGACGAATTCAAATAGTTCGTTGTAACTTTGTTTGTACCAGGGTCTTTATGGCCCGTGCTCGTATCAATTACTTATGTATCTCATACTATATTGTGAGGAAGTGAGGGAACTAGAGAGGAGGTAGGGAGCATGTGTGCATTTTTTTCGATTTAGTTCATTCACTGTAACTCTTTTTATCATTCTATATATAGGTACCTGGGGAGGAGTAATGATGTACTCGGGGTTGAACCACATGCATATTTTGTAGTCGCAGCATAATGTCGTCTGTTGGTGATGGTTGATCTGCCGATCCCCTCCACAGGCTCACACACATCACCACCTACAACAACCATCGGTACCTTTCCTTTGGGAATATATCTTACAACTCTTATCCCTCAAATGGTTGTATATATGGTGGACACTCCCTCGCTAGTATTTCGACCATGTTGTTCCTTCTCTACCTTCCTTGTTAGCAAGGTCGGTGGCGGAAGAAAAATGAATAAAGGAACCACCCCAACGACAACAGTTGGGATACATTCTCCATGAACATCTCTGACAAAGGGAGCACCATCAGACTAAAAGCAAGACACAAATCCTTACTGGCTACATTGTTGAACAATACTACCTTTTGATACCATTTGAACATTTAGATTTAATTTGAATTTAAGTCATGTTTAGCGAACAAACTCATACTATATTGTACAAACCAACCAGTGTCACAATCAATTATAACCTAAAAATCTTATAACAAAGAATAATTATATTTAATTCATGCTAACCTATGAGGTCCGTCAAGGGGGGCGCTGCAGTCTCGATCGCCACAAGGGCAGCCGCCGAGGTATCGACTAATGGTCAAGCGGTCTTGGCGGATGACTCAGCCATCTCAGCAGCTGTAGCCGTCCTCTCTGCAGAGGCAACCGTGACCTCGGCGTAGGACTTCGCCCTCCGTGCCGTTGCAGCCGCCCTCTCGGCATCGCCTGCCACTTCAACCGCCCTCTCGACCGCTGCACGAGAGAATCGTGGTAGGCAGCCGCCCTCTCAGCCACTGCAGCCATCCTGTGGGGGGCCTAGATCTCCCTAACTAAGAATCTCCACGAGACCATCTTTGTCATCCGCTAGTGAACACATGGACCTAACATGAAGAAAAAACACATTGGATTTGAATTGCAAAGTCAAGACACAGACTAAACCTAGCATAAGTCAAACCTAGAAGAATCACGTACTCTGCATTTGAGCCGACTTTCAGTCCGTCAAGGCTCTCAACAACTGTCATCTCTCAAATGGTTGTATATATCGTGGACACTCCCTCAGTGGTATTTCGAATATTGGTGATGGTCGTTCCTCCACATATCTTCTACAAGGAAGAGATGAGGAGAAACGGCCTCCTATAAACGTCTCCACAGCTCCTATAGTTTCACGGGAGAAGAGGGGGCCCGTGATCTTGCCTGGGGGGAGGTAGATCGGCGCTGGCGCCACAACTCCTAAGGTTTCACCTAAGGATGGAAGCAGGAAAGAAAACGATTCACTCCAAACATTCACTCTTTCAGACTAGGAGCAAATGTTCTTCAACTTTCTTCTATACGTAATTATATATGTTGAGATTAATGTCTATACTTACATGAGTATAGATAATAATAGGAGCAATATTTTTGTGCATCAGTGCCCACACATTTTATCTTGATCCATCACTACACATACAACATGCACTCGTGTTTTTTTATTATTGCCAACATGCAAAGCAGAAAACCAAGTTTCATTTTCCTGCCTCCCGTCTGGTAATCCGAAAGAATCAAATTCATTATAACCAGAGCCAGGAGAATGGACCTATATGTAGCTGCGCTGCTGCTCCGATGAAAGAGGGTAGCTTCTTCCGCTGCTGCTGTGGACGCCCCTCCTTAACCATGTTAATGTGGAGATTGCAACCTTCCAAAACCAAGCCACTGAGAGCATCTAGAGCATCTTCTAGGTGGGCATGGGATGTTGAAATAGTTACGTGGCCGATACATCGTGAGCGCTTGGTCTTCTTGTCGCAGATCACCTCGGTGCTGAACACTTTACCATGTTTGCCAAACAAGAGTCGCAGCTGAGAGCTTTTCACGGGGAGAGGTAGGTTGTACACCAACACCTTGAAACAAGGCTCATAATATCTCTCGACGTGAATGACGTGTGTTGGACACATAATCTCTTGCCTCTTCACGCCACGAGCTTCCAGAGAGCTCCTATTGATTTCCTAATAGAGCAACATCAATGTTAATCATCACTACTAGAATTTTATTGTGTACGTCTAGGCCTCGAGATGCTTGCTTACACATAGTCCCGAGTGTTAAACTCTAGATGGTATCGGTTCTATTAGCCAGAAATAGCATTATGCGAAATATAATTTTGTGATGTTTATTTTGCAGGTGTTTAATTACCTGAACCGGAGCCATGATTGTTTCTGGGATGAGCCAAGTGCACTTCTCGCAATCCCATCCTTGAGGCAGCCTCTCAATGAACTTGACTTCATCATTGACAAGGTTGTACCTGAACACACCGTATTGCTTATATGGCGCGGCCTTACTATTGGTGTAGACGAAGTAGACGGAGCCTCCATGGCCAACAAGCACGGAGGCGTCGATGGCAAAGCTGTTGGGCGACCCCAAGAAGAGGACGCGATCGGCCAGGCTGTAGCCATCCTTTCTCACCCACTGTCTCTTATCCCCGTCTAGCGCGCACACCCACATGGAGAACCTGCGCGAATCATTGTAGTATGTCCGGACATGGATGGTCGCCCACAAAAGCTCGCCACGGGACTCAAGGAGGTAACTGTATTGCTCCAAGTAATTTCCACACATAGTCGGTAGCCGCTGCAATGGGATCCCCATGTTGTCAGCCCCCCGCTGTGTAGAGATTTGCCACACGCTAGACTCAACAGTTACCAGGATTCTGCCATTACGGTAAGTGGCGCAGTACTCTCGGCTCCTATTGGTGTTCTCAAAGATCGTCTCCACGAGCGTCCACTCTGCATCACCAGGTTGCAGGAGCACCGCCGTGAAGCTGGCTATGGTCTTGGTGTCCTCGAAGACGGTGGAGACACCGTAGAGAAGGGTCGTACCATCAGCATAGACAGCGCCGTGGAGGTTTTCCTCCCATCGGCCGTCCACACAGCACTTATGCGGCAAGAGAGGCAGACGGGTGACGGCTCCGGTTAGAGGGTCGTGCAGGCTAGGGCGTTGATGTTCGACCGTGAGGTACCGGATGGTGGTTGCGTCGTGAGTAGACAGCCAGATCCTCCTCCCGGACTCGGCGATAGGCAGCAACGCGCGGTAGCTGGACTTGGAGAAGAGGCACCTGAACCTTAGTGGGATGGAGTCTTCCTCCGGCGTGGGGAGGAGCCACGGTGGGAAGGAGTGGATCGGCTTGGATGAGTCGCGCCACGGCCTGCAGACGGCGCTGAAACGGAGGAAGTCGACCGCATCGCGAAGGCGACTGGAGATGTCATGTAGCACGTCCTGTGGGAGGTCTGGCCACCTGGACTGCTCCATGACGGCGGGATCGAGCGAGAATTTGTGATGGACGGATAGAGGAGTAGATGGAATCGAGAAGGCCGTACGTTTGTTTCGGATTAGCCAGGTTTTATATGTATGTTTTGAGCGAAAGCCGGGTTTTTATATAGCTACGTACGGCCGTGTCATGCTCTAATACGTAAGGATACCCACCGAGTTTTCTTTAGGACGCACTGGGTTTTTCCTTTTTTTTCCGGTACTGACAAACCTTTCGAGAGGTGGGCTTTGTCGAACAGCTTTGCCGTCGTCTCCTTTGTTGCTTGGACTGCCTTTCTTTTATGTCATATAAATCGCTAGGAACGTGGGCTATTTGTTTTTATTTAATATACTACCAATATAGAAGTCCCTAGAAGTAATTGGAGATTAATAGGACTTCCCCCAATTTGCCCGAAACTTGGCCAGGTTGAGTTGGTTCTGGAGTTGCATCAATTTAATTGCTCTCCCTAAAGGTGTCGACGGTTCAACTTACGGCAGCCAGATTCGTTCTCTTCTGTTACAAACTGTTCTTGAAACAGGCTCATGCCCCGCTTTATATATAAAGCAAACATCATGGTAGGCCTGAAAACATGACACGGCATGCACTAGGACACATAGGCTCCACGAACACCGCCACACGAGGGAGAACGCCGCTACGCGTCGTCGCTGCCGAGTCCAAGGAGAGAGGTCTTCACCTGAAATCCTTGCACGGGGTGGAAAGCCGCAACGACCTCAAGAGTTGAGTGGCATCCGCAAGCGTCACCGGCGCCGGCCCCAATGCGCGGAATTTTTGCTCGGCAGCTCATCCATGCCACGATGAGGCACCCAGAACCACCACTGCGAGCACAAGCCTTGGGTTTCAGATTTGGACATCGCTTTTGCCAACGACAGGAAGCGAGCCCGAGCTTCCCACCGCTACAGCCCTTGCCGCCTACTTGCCGCCATCATGGTGCCATTCGACCAATAATTAAGCATAATCATTACCGCTGTCATGGTGCCTGTCAAAGAGCCAACCATACGGACCTCCACCTGGGGGCGCCGCCCTGGCATCCATGTCTCGAGATACCGTCAACCACCCCTGCCACAGCTCACCAATCATGGTAGGAGGAGCAGAGGCACTCCATCTACTCCTAACCAAACATTAGCCACCCGATCTGGGTCAACGTCTCCACCGTAAGAAATGGCCACACTGGCTTCCCAAGCCAGTCCCGGTGGACCGTGGGGGGGGGGCACAATCTAGTGACTACCTTTGGCCGCCATCGAGCAAGCCTCGGCCTAGGCGAGCTCACACGCCGCCATGCCCGTGGCTAACGGCGCCGATCCATCTGACGGCATAACAATCCCTCCCGAAGACGCCACGATCCCTCAACCAACGCCATAACGTGATGACGCCACCCATCTAGCCCACAAGATCCCGCCTTGGCATGATCAGAGGTGGCCTAGAACTGACAAATTCGACTCCAAGGCGCCCAAGCGCCAGAGCACGCACTAGGAACAGCCAACCCTGGTTGGAAGGACCATGTCAAATTCAGCCGAGACAACCTGTCAGGAGGGAGAGAAGGCCTCGCCGCTGCCCATGCTGACCGGGAGTGCGCGTCGGTGGCAACGGAGGAGGAAAGGGGAAGGTGGAGACTGGCGTCGTGCTAGGGTTCTCCCCGGATGCCTACGGGGCCGGCGCAGGGAGAGGGAGAGGGGAAAGGGGAAACAGATCCCACGACCAACGCTGACTTTTGTTACAAAATGTTGGTGGTTCGCCATACACATAACTCATCTTCTATTATATATAAAAAGTGATTGACGGGCTCCCGAAAAAAAAACAATTAGACTAGAAAATCCCACAATAATTAGAAACATCCAAACATCTATTTAATAGATTAAACATCCAAAAAATTACCCACCATTGTCATTACGACAAAAAAAAAACGTTTCGTTTCCAAGATAAAAGGGTAACGTGATGTGGGCTGAATCCTCCATTTATAGACGCATGCATTAGAGTCCTAAAAAAGGCTGCCGTAATGTGTGGCCTGACTCCTTTCTATATGTCGTATTTGTTAGTATACCACATCCGACATATCACAACAAATAAGAGTAGCTAGACGTATCATAGTTTATAGGTTTTATAATCGTATACAAACATATGATCTGAGTACTAGATTATTAAATGAATTAAAAAAATAATATAAAATTTTACTCATAAGTGAAACCTATTACGCATGGCGGTTATTACAACATTTGGAACCTGATACATTACATTGATATATATATACTAACCCATGTAGTCACCAAATCTTATATACTAGGTATATGATTGTCAGGCACCCAATCGGACAGTTTATTTTGGAAAACAAGGGCAGTGGTACTATGTACCTCATTCAACAATTATATACCACTTTAAAAAAGAAACACATGTTTTTCCAAGATTTGAAAGAAATATGATGAAATATTTACCACGAACAGGCATTTCATAAATTACATAATATTTGTTGCATCGCACAAGCACAGGAAAATGATAAGAAGAAGGCAGAATATTACAAAGTCAGAAAAGGAAAAATAGTGACCCGTAGGTCGAAATATGGAGAATGTTGCCGCTATGGAGGCCGAGGATGATGTGCCCAGCTACCGCGAGCGAAAATAGAGACGATCCGCCCAGCTTGTGCGCTTGTGAAAGGAAATGTCGCTGGCAACAAAATATGAAGCCAAGAGGGCCGCGGGTCTGCGGGGGATGAAATCAATGACTAAGCAAATGCACGGACACCATTGTCTCTGTTTACCAGCCTAGGGGACCATTGGAACATGCGAGGACACAAACCAGCCACCGTCCAGGATCAATGTGTGGTCGAACTAGCTGCGAGGGTGGCTCCAGGTGTGGAAGACCAACCAAAATGCAGCAAATAGAGAAAGGAACCTGATGGGAGCATCACGGCATCATGAGTGACAAGAAAGATTGAGGAAAAGAGAAAGGGGATCGGGGAAGATGAAAAATCTCAATGTGTGAAAGTATGAGTAGGGGAAAGAAGACCGAGAAGTCAAGAAGAGTAGAATAAGAAAGTGAAGAATTTGTGGGACCCAACAAAAAATGACATTTTCTACATAAACCTTACTATTGTGAGTGCTCGTGTGTCGTGTCTCATATATTAGACCAGAATATATCAAGGTACTTTTTTGTAATAAGAAAAAGGTACGGGTATGATAGCGAAAATATACCATGTGGGTGGCTTATATTTTGCTCCCACAGTGTCCACCCTTGGTACTGTTGTTCACGTCTATGGAAGCAAATAACTACCGACAAAGAATTTATGGATATCTATACTATATAAAAAGCCAAAATCAATTGCACTACAAACTCACTAAATAAATATGCCAATGTTGCATACTGTTAGCAAATTAACTTATGACTAGAAGAAAATAATGAGAACTACTAAATTTTTATTTATAGAAAAGACTAAGCAACATGACCAAAATTGTCAGCCAAAAGATACAAATATAATTTCGATCATCAAACTACATACATCTATATATCAATAAAATATTAAGCATACAAAAGATACAAATATGTTTTTAAAATTCTTATATTTGAAAAGTTCATCATATTTGCTTTCAATTTTTAATTGACAAATCAAATAATATATTCTCAAAATTTAACTTCATAAAATCCTAGCCAGCGCATCCAGCAAGCCACTTTGCTAGTTTATACAACAATGCAAAAATGAAAATCTAGTTTTTTAAATAGATCTGAGCTCACATCGACACTGTTACGGCTGCCCCTAATTGACCAAGCTGACCTTCAGACTGTGCCCTTCCAGAATCAGCTTGTCGAGATCCATGAGAGCATCATCCAGATGGGCATGCGTCGTCTCTATGGTCACATGGCCGATAACATGTGAGACATGTGTCTTCTTACAGTGGATTACCTCAGCATTGAGCACTTTGCCATGCTTGCTAAAGAAGAGTTGTAACTGAGCGGACTTCAATGTGATAGGAAGAATGCGCACCAGCACCCGAAAACTAGGCACGCGACGTCTCTCAATGTGAATGGTCCGTGTTGGAGAACAAGAAATTGTTGGAGCCGTTTCCTGCCGTTGCTCCTTCGTCAATTTTGTATCCTCCGACAACCTCTGGTTGATTTCCTGATCTAGCAAACTCAATGATATATTAGCACATATATATTGGACTGGTTGTCTTGGATTGACATGATGATAATATCAATACATGTTTTCTTCTGTGTTGAAAAAATTAATTGGAGAGGGCCAATGCAAAGTTCAGGGTTAGATTCTTCTGCGGCTGTATTAGTTTAATGCGGGAATATGATCAATATATAGTAATATGATGTGGAAAGTGTGTTATAATTATTAATATATATGACAGTGGGAGCCTCTCCCACTGTCCCAGTTCCTCAAAAAAATATGATGTGGAAAATCAACTTAAGAAATTTGATATGTTTTTAGTAATTTGAGGCCTCATTCAACCTCGTGAGGAGGCTTTTTCGTTGTACTGGGCCACGTTCTGTTGGGCGGGAGGCCATGGGAATTAGGAAAGAAACACAAAAGACACAATTAGTCCGCGTCGCCAAAACCTCATGTTCGTCTCCTGTGTGTTCGCGTGCGTGTGTGTTCTTCAAGTCCACGAGATCACGTGCGTTTGATTGATCCAGGGGCTAAATTCCCTGACAATTGGCATCAGAGCCTCGGTTTGAGGGAGGCGACCTTGCGGCGGCGGCGGCGGCGAGAGTGGTGAAGAGTGGCGGTGGTGTTCAGAGGCGATGGCGAGCGATGAGACACCGAAGGAGGTGCTGGCGTCGGGGAAGTACCAGCCGCCGGGGAAGCGCACGGGCGACAGCTCCTCGGAGGAAGGTGCCTTGGTCGTCCGGAATCGAACTACCATCTTTGGGAAGCCAAGATGAAGATCATCATGCGTCCATTGGGCGCGTGGTCAGTGGTTGAGGGCGACGCCAAGTACGACGGGGAATGAGATATGGGCGTGATGGCAGCGATCTCCCAGTCTGT